GATGGATAGGTCCCAAATCACAGTGTTGTTTGTCTATGTCTGTCTGGATACCCCGTCACATAGGTCCCGTCACACTGTTGCCGTCTGTCTGGATGCCGTGAAGGATAGGTCCCCGTCACACTGTTGTTTGTCTGTCTGTCTGGATACCGTGAAGGATAGGTCCCCGTCACACTGTTGCTTGTCTGTCTGTCTGTCTGTCCGTCTGTCTGGATACCGTGAAGGATAGGTCCCCGTCACACTGTTGCTTGTCTGTCTGTCTATCCGTCTGTCTGGATACCGTGAAGGATAGGTCCCCGTCACATTGTTGCTTGTCCGTCTGTCTGTCCGTCTGTCTGGATACCGTGAAGGATAGGTCCCCGTCACACTTGTTGTTTGTCTGTCTGTCTGGATGCCGTGAAGGATAGATAGGTCCCCGTCACACTGTTGCTTGTCTGTGTCTGTCTGGATACCGTGAAGGATAGGTCCCCGTCACTCTGTTACTTGTCTGTCTGTCTATCCGTCTGTCTGGATACCGTGAAGGATAGGTCCCAGTCACATTGTTGCTTGTCCGTCTGTCTGTCCGTCTGTCTGGATACCATGAAGGATAGGTCCCCGTCACACTCTTGCTTGTCCGTCTGTCTGGATGCCGTGAAGGATAGGTCCCCGTCACGCTGTTGTTTGTCTGTCTGTCTGGATACCGTGAAGGATAGGTCCCCGTCACACTGTTGCTTGTCCGTCTGTCTGGATACCGTGAAGGATAGGTCCCCGTCACACTGTTGTTGTCTGTCTGTCTGTCTGGATACCGTGAAGGATAGGTCCCCGTCACACTGTTGCTTGTCTGTCTGTCTGTCTGTCTGGATACCGTGAAGGATAGGTCCCCGTCACACTGTTGCTTGTCTGTCTGTCTGTCCGTCTGTCTGGATACCGTGAAGGATAGGTCCCCGTCACACTGTTGTCCGTTGTCTGTCTGTCCGTCCGTCTGTCTGGATACCGTGAAGGATAGGTCCCCGTCACACTGTTGCTTGTCCGTCTGTCCGTCTGTTTGGATACCGTGAAGGATAGGTCCCCGTCACACTGTTGCTTGTCCGTCTGTCCGTCTGTTTGGATACCGTGAAGGATAGGTCCCCGTCACACTGTTGCTTGTCTATGTCTGTCTGGATACCGTGAAGGATAGGTCCCCGTCACACTGTTGCTTGTCCGTCTGTCCGTCTGTCTGGATACCGTGAAGGATAGGTCCCCGTCACATTGTTGCCTGTCAATGTCTGTCAGGATACCGTGAAGGATAGGTCCCCGTCACACTGTTGTTTGTCTATGTCTGTCTGGATACGGCGAAGGATAGGTGCCCGTCACACTGTTCTTGTCTATGTCTGTATGGATACCGTGAAGGATAGGTCCCCGTCACACTGTTGCTTGTCTGTCTGTCTGTCCGTCTGTCTGGATACCGTGAAGGATAGGTCCCCGTCACACTGTTGCTTGTCTGTCTGTCTGGATGCCGTGAATGATTGGTCCCCGTCACTCTGTTGTTTTTGTTTTTGGTGGGTAATCTACTGCAGAATCCTAGCACATGAAACTTACGATGCCTGCTGAAAATATATGTAAAGGCAGCATGCGAACACTTTAATAGTGATTGAGAGATAAACACACAATTCTGAAAATGGACATTGTTTGTCGACATGTTGCTTACAGATGGTAATTGTCAATGCCGTTCCACCGAACTTCTGTACTTATGCTCATGATGAAAACATAACGTCACTCAGGATTGGATGATGTTATGTTTCCATGACAACTGAACCTGCTCAGTTAGTGGCAGGCAAAGAAACGTCAACAAGAAAGACGTTTGTTTCTGAATATTTCTAAAAATGCAGTTTATAATGGACGGTATTTATGTCACCATGCTAAGAACGAACTGACCACGTCGTGTACAGTTGCGTCAAGAACATCACGGACAAATAATCATGTCTCGCCTTTAGTTTCAGTTTATATCGATTCGCTTTAATCAAAATATTATGTGGTTTTGAAGTGAAGCTCCTAGTGAATATTTGATCTAATCCACATCGAACAGAATGAATGAATGGAATGAATGAATGGAATGAAGAAATGAATGAAATGAATGAAATGAATGAAATGAATGAAATGAATGAAATAATGAATTGAATGGAATGAATGGAATGAATTGGATGGATGAATTGGAATGGATGGATGAATGAATGAATGAATGAATGAATGAAATGAATGAATGAATGAATGAATGAATGAATGAATGAATGAATGAATAAATGAAATAATGAATCAATGAAATGAATGGAATCAGTGAAATGAATGAATGGAATGGAATGAATGGAATGAACTGGATGGACGAATTGGATGGATGGTTGAAAGGATGAATGAATGAAGAAATGAATGAAGAAATAAATGAATGAAATCAAAAATGAAATGAATGAATGGAATGAATGGAATGAATGAAATGAATTGAATGAATGAAATGAATTGAATGAATGAATGAATGAATGAATGAATGAAATGGATGAATGAAGAAATGAATGAATGGAATCAATTGAATGAATGAATTGAATGAATGAAATGAATGAAAAGAATGAATGATTGAAATGAATGGAATGAATAAAATGATTGAATGAATGAATGAATAAATGAAATGAATGAATGAATGAAATAATGAATGAATTAAATAATGAACTAGCCGCCGCCTCAAGCTCTTGTATTTGCTGCCGATTTTGAAAACAGGGAGTGCAATTTAGATGTACCCTTGAAAGAAAGAATTCAAACAAGCATTCCAAGGTTCCATTTGTGTGAAGGTTGATTCTATCATGTGAAGAGACTTGTTAAAACTTCCAAAACATATTCTTCTATTTGATAACTGATTGCTGTCAGCATGACATTTGTTTGTATTTGCGGTTGATATACTTCCCAGAGTTTCAGAGTATATTCAGTTGGAACAGTCTGACGTCATACCGGTTCGACTGGGCAATGAACACCATTAAGTTCGTTTTTCTATCTCTATGGAAAGTACATGAGTAATCTTAGTCCCATCTAACCAGGCTGGTAGACATTTGCCTGGTGATGTCCAGTCTCAGGATGTAGGAAGTGGTCAGATAAAACATATTTTATTTTATGGATTACGCGTCCTCAGTAATGTATCTCACCTCATCGCCAGAGAAAGTGTAATCCCAAATTAAACATGTTAAATTAAATTGTTCAATGTTAAGTTGTCTTACAGGAGCGTTCGTCTTACTCGGCTGTGTCGTGTTTGGTGCTCAGAGGGAAGACACCGATGCCTTTTCCACCTACAGTATCGGCTGGTCATTTATCTTGACCATCATCGGATCACTGCTGTACCTAGCTACTGGACCCGTGCTGCTCGTGGACAAGCTGAAGGGATGACGGTCACGTTGTACATCAGCTTCCCATCACAAACATCACAAACATCACAAACACGTGCTTGTCTCAAAGACTTACCAATGCTAGACTATATCAGTTTCATATCAATGGTTCATGACATACATTACTTGTTAAACTTTCGTTTTTGTATCCAATCACCATGCCTTCAAATAGCCTGTACCAATGTGATTAGGTAGGATGTACATGCCGAATAGATGGCAGTAGTTCAGATATATCCCGAGAGTATGATTCTACACGGCTGATATCCAGATCCATTACTGTCATATGTTAGACCGAGGATATTTTAGTCAGCTATAGTTTACAAATAGTGTGACCATGTACTTGATTAGTGTGGGATGATGAGGTACTTGGCATTTAGGGAAGATTTTCCAGCCGGTTCATTCAGTTTACACGTACTACTCTCTGTCTGTATACGGTAGTGAAATGAATGAGACCACGTAGATCCTGTGTATATGCCCGTTCTGGATCCCAACAGAGGTGTACACAATCAGGCAATCATCAAATATAGTCACAAAAATTGTTCACAATATATATATTGTATATTGTTCACAAAAACAAAAGATATGATCCGCAAGAAACGAACCTACATGGTGGCTTTATACATCAATGTTAAGCATAATCTCTAGTTATTGTAACGATTATGTCAAGATATGAACAGTTATTCATGCACAGCTACTTGGGATAGATAAATACAATTACAATATCATATTTATAAAGAGCTTGGTAAACAAAAGTATGCACTTGAAAATTTGATTTCACCAAACATCTGCAAAGTGTCTACAGAAGTAGGAAGAAAACACTTCGCTGAAAGCCCTAAATGTTAAGCTCAAAATGCAACTGTCTCGTATTCATGTGCTGTAGTGTGTTGGACACCGGGTGTTATTTATGCAATATATCATACATGCCTCATTACCTGTTGTTGTCATTACCTTCTGGTTGCACCTGTGACTAACGGGACCTGGGCGGGACAAGCCAGGGCTGTGTACTGGAGCAGTGTGATAATATATCTTTCACAATGTGACGGAATCACGGCAAGGCACCAAGCCCGAGCCACACTGTGCCATGGGGACCCAGTCACCTGTTGCTGCCATGGCTATCGGGAAGATGATTTCTATTTTGGTATCGTTATGTTTGTATCGCACATGCAATAAGGTGTTGCACATGCCTAAAACGAAACCCATGACGTCGTGAAACGTGGCACATGTAGATGTGTTTAGTTCCGGAATGCCTGTGCTCACATCTGAATTTGTGTACACGTGGTGTTCGAATATATATATTGATTTCCTAAGTGCACAGTCTATTCTGTGGCTAGTATACATACTTACAGAGCGAGCACAAACAGGCATATATGACATGATTATAGAACAACCCTGAACATAATCAATATCTGGTACCAATATAACTATCTTCCCATCCACGGGAATACTCACACGCAAACACTCGTGCAATAATTCACCTTTACAACAAAATATTTCAAGAAATCCAGACTGCAATAGTATAACTTGTTTGAGTGGCATTTTAGAAGTTGAGACGTACAATATGGAACAAGTTTTTATATATGCAGCTCCTCCACTTCATGTATCACTCTTGCTTGACAACGGTACAGGAATCTGTATCGAAACGTCGCACTCACGAAATAAAGAAGTTGTTATCCATAAAAACTTGTTCCATATTGCAATAGTATACCTCGGTCCTAATACATAAGCTAACTGGTATGCTTGGTCACTGTGGTTCAGGAATCTAACAATGTTATAGATATGGCATAAATATGGCATAAAGTCATCTATCCCCGGGACAGATTGTCGAGAAGATCAGAACAGGTGGGTGTTTTCTGATTAACATGTCAACGGAATCTGACTCAATTCACAATAACCCTCATGTGATCTCGCCCTGTTCAAATATCCCTATGTCCTGATACGTCCATGTGGTCACTTCGTCAGAAGAACGTATGTTGTTTGACCACGTCGCAATACGCTGCATCAGCTGACTGTTTGTGCACCTCGTCACGTGGCGGTGTTGATTTGTCCACCTCGTCACGCGCTGGTGTTGATTTGTCCACCTCGTCACGTGCGGGTGTTGATTTGTCCACCTCGTCACGTGCTGGTGTTGGTTTGTCCACCTCGTCACGTGATGGTGCTGATTTTTCCACCTCGTCACGCGCTGGTATTGACTTGTTTTGGAGCGGCTCTACGTCTATAACTCAGGCCAATTATGTCGCTTGCTGGAAACAAAACAGGAACGAAAGAGTTCAACAACCGTTATGAAAACAAATGTGGAAATTACAAATTGCTGCAACATGTTGAATGAATATTACACAGACCATTCCACAGAAGACAGTGTTGGAACTAATTCCTCCTCCCCTTGCTCTGCCTGCATAGTAGCATTCATTATTTACAGGAACCCTGCATTGGGGTTTGCCCTACACTAGCCTGTATCTATCTGTCAATTCACACTGCCTACCAGCCTCTTTATGGGGTCCCGCAACACAGTCCTAAGACCAATACTATTTACGCTATATACACGATGTGTGTGTGTGTGTGTGTGTGTGTGTGTGTGTGTGTGTGTGTGTGTGTGTGTGTGTGTGTGTGTGTGTGTGTGTGTGTGTGTGTGTGTGTGTGTGTGTGTGTGTGTGTGTGTGTGTGTGTGTGTGTGTGTGTGTGTGTGTGTGTGTGTGTGTGTGTGTGTGTGTGTGTGTGAGAGAGATCGTGTACTTGCACATTGGTGTTATTAGTCACCTCCAAGCAACGGTAATCGGCCTGGCAGCTAGGTGTAGGCAGGGTATGATAGTCATCCCACACGATGTTGGTCTTCTGATAACTTGAGATATAATGTGAGATGAGAGGCAAGAGTTACCTATCTCTGCCTAAATATAGCACACCACTGCCCCTGACTATCACATGTACAATGTATTACACTAGGAACATTGTTACACAATGATCAACACTCCCACATTACGGTACACTTCTTAAAACAAGTGGTGTCCGACGAATGTAAGCGGTATTGTATGACGCGGTTACCCTGTTCCCGAAAATCTAGCATCATCACCCCTTTTCAGCGACCCTTTAATATTCTTTAACCGGTTTCATCGGATAATCGAAAGTGGTTATTCTCCTTCGTTAACGTTTCATATTCGCCCCATTAAATATTCCGCTCTAATGCTTGTGGCATAGATTTGCTTCATGAACCCTTCAGTATTTCAAGGAGGGCTAGACAGTGGTGAAATTATTCGAGTTCAGAGACTGTGAAACACCATGATGAAGTTGTTCTTAAACGAATGCGGCACTTTAAAGCTTAACTAAAGTTGAATAGATTGGGCAAAGGTCACGGAATGTGATCTGTGCAATACCTTCAAGGAAATTACTCATCTCTCAACAACACTCCCATTAGCTTGTCTAGCAGGTGGCTTGCAGGTCTCGCCATGCAGTGAATACACATAGCTATAGAATTACAACTGCCACAAGGCAGCAGAACCTTACGTATGATTCATGCTGTTAGGACTAACACACTTCCCTGACTATACTGACTTTACTAAGTGTCATGGAAGCATGTTGAGCAGAGCCTTTGTATTAGAACCACATAGACTGATGGATGGGTGTCTGGACAGGGTACACTAAATACCTAATTGACAGCAATGGAGGACTACCGATACTGATGCTGTTCATAGTAAACGTTTGTGTACAGAAAGAAAAAACAATTATATACAAAGGAGAGTGTTTGATGAAGGTGACAAATCATATGATTATCCATCGCGATGATGATGATGATGATAATGACGACGACGGCGACAGCGCCGATGATGATGATAGTGACGAAGGGGCATATTTTGACGAGGCCATTAACGGTTTACATACATAATTATTGGTACTACTTACATGAACTGCTTGATGACTGTGTCAGTGACGTCTGTCGCAATGACCTTGAAATAGTAGAGATTAAAGTGGAACTTTGTAGACGTGGCATTCGTCGTGGTCGCTGACAGGTGAAAATGATCCGAACCTCCTCCCGAAACCGTTTACCTTTGACCAAACACGTGATGAAGTTCGTTGAGGTGTTGAGGTACATGACTAGACTCACACATGCCTTAATAAGCTCCCGCGCAGCTTCTGCCTCCTTCCCTGGGTACATGACCTTCCAATACCTCTCCCCAACGAAGAAGACGGACACAGGCAACGTGCAGAGGAGGTACACCAGGTTCAGACTCAGCAGCATAGTTGTCATGGACGTTATGAGTCGTTGCCTTGATCTGTCTGCTCTGGCTGTTGAATTGTGTCTTGACATGGTGCGGGCGTGCGTACGTAGGCGGTAAATGATGAGAATATTGCACACAAGATGAACCACAACGGGTGCGATACACCACACACACATATCAATCCAGTGGAACACATTATCATAAAAGTGATCATAAGCACTGTCACACTCATACACGCCGGGGTCTGTTTCAGTATGCTCCATAAGGAACAGAATTTGAAAGTTTAATAACAGACACGCACATACAACAAGAGCCACGCTGAATGTCGCCACTCGCTTGGTGCACATGATCCTGTACCGCAGAGGTCTGTAAACAAACACTGTGCGTTCAATGGTGACCGAGACCAGTATCCAGGCTGATGCGTGGAGACTTGAGTACAGAAGCCACGTGTGGATCTTACAAGCAGCTCCGTGAATATCGCGGATGTCTTTATCAAACACAGCCCTCACCCATTCCCTTGGCAGTCCCAATAGCAGGACAGCTAGATCAGCCACTGCCAGACAGGTCAAGTATTTGGACATATTGGACCTCATTTTCCCACGGGTCAACACAACAATGGAAAGGAGATTGCCTACAGTTCCAACCAGAAGGAGGATCGGCGAAATGATCTGCCACAGGAGTTTGGCCGTTTCCTTGTTTTGCAATATTGAGGCATCCTCTTCCTTCGAAAAATTTGAATCATTCATCCTGACTTCGTGTAGATCATGAAGGGGGTGTTCCGTGCATTGTTCTAGTAGAAGTGTTAGCCTTGGACAGGGTTACACCACTGTCTGCTCCTTGTGATGGCGATCTACTGATGGTTTCAGTGCCACAGTTTGATTCCTGACAGCAGAGGACCTCCAGAGTTGCATTCATGTGAACAGTGTCTGTCCAGTTCAGTTACTGTCGGTTATGAGTCCCTTGATTCATGTGAACAAAGTTTCCACATGGCACTCAGTATGTGAACATGGCATATCACGTTTCATTCATTAAAACACAGGGTCTTCAGTTTGCTTCACAGAAACATATTGTGATCTCCGTTTGATTAGTGAGTCGACTTTGAACAGTGTCTAGATCGTTTGATTCATGGATAGTGAAACTACTGCTTGCCTTCTCGTGGTTGTTCGTCGTCCTGGTGTAATCCACCATATAATGAGACACTTTTCTCGCCAACTGTGCTGTAGTTCTGTCGTGTGTTCGTCCCAGCATCCGCCCTCCACCGTCACCAGCGCCCTCCGTGGACGTCGTGCAACTGCTGAGAAGTGCGTGCTTACGGACAACCCATGCACAACACAACACGACAAAGACGTGGGGGTAAAGATAGTTTCATGGCCAGGGCATTTAGTTGCGGTGTATGTTGGGGTTGATTTCAGCTTGACATACCGGAATATTGCTTACGTTTAGTTCGTCACACTACACCATTACACCCTGCAGGATCAGGACACGGGAACAGATATGTCACATTGTGTGTCCAAGTTTTTACAGCATCGTGAAGGAGACCTTTCATGCTTCACGGCCTAGGAAGAATGTATACACAATAGCATGTTATTTCGACAAGCGTTGTGAACAAAACATGTAAGTCAATACTTGAAGGTTATCGTTCATCTGATAAACTACTTTGCCAGACCTTTATCTTAAACATATCAGTGACTTTTCTATTTATGAAAATCAGGAAGAGGTTTTTTTACCATTAGCGAAAAAGCAGTTAGAATATCATGTTTCTGCGATCGTGCACGCGGGTAAACTACCGGGCAAAGGAAAGTAATCACTTATAAAGTAACTGTATAAAAAACGAAAACGCTGGTACGGGTTTGAACCCAAATAGAAAACATTCGCCGAAACGCAACATGGTCCCGATAACAAATCAGCTTTCCGAAAACTTCTTACAAATCGTGCATTTTTTTAAAACGTGAAAAAACGTAAACGGGCATGGAAGTGGCATAAATATACATTTGTAGATGTTGGACAGAGCAAGCATGTAGTAATAAAAACACACTACGAATATGCCAAGACTTACGCAAATGCAACGAGACAGGGTGGTCAGTATGGCCAATATGGGGGCTTCACAACTGCAGCCAGGTCGCCATCAGCAAATTGATAAACCGCTACCAGCAAACAGGCTAGAACCAAGAACGTCCAAGATGGGGAAGACAGCACTAGGACACGCCATAAACAGACGAAGAGTCGTTCGACGACTTGGTATGACTGCTATACGAGCCTACCGCCCCTTCCCTGGAATGGCCTTGATCCGTCTACACCGTCAACGCAGACTGCAATGGACACGAACTGTACGTCGTTGGCAGCGACGTGACTGGGAGAGAATATTCTTTACATATGAAAGTCGGTTCAGAAACGATGGCAGAGTTCAGGTTTTTTCGACGTAGAGGAAAGCAACTGGCGCCAAACTGGCATTTGTGACCAGAGAACAAGACTAGTAATCATTCGAGGAAATCTGAATGCATAGCCATTAAGGGATGAAGTGTTGAGACCTTTTGCGGTGCCCTTTATTCGACAACCGCCAAGACGAGCTATTTTGCAGCACGACAAAGTGAGGCCTCACACTGCCAGAATTGTTCGAGAATACCTGCACAACGTTAACGTCAACGTATGGCCTTGGCTAGCACGTTCTCCAGGCACGAACCCCTTTGAACATCTCTATGATCGTCACCTGAGACAGTGTGTACCACCTCCAGCGAACGGACAGGAACTTGAACAGTGAGTGAGTGAAAGAGGGTTTTACGCCGCTTTTAGCAATATTCCAGCAATATCATGGCGGGGGGACATCAGAAATGGGCTTCATACATTGTACCCATATGGGGAATCGAACCCGCGTTTTGGCGTGACGAGCGGACGCTTTAACCACCAGGAACTTGAACAGACTCTCTTGGACGTATGGAACATGATTCCTGCTGACGTCATCCACTGACTGTCGACGTCCATGTGGAGACGTGTGGTGGCCTGTATGGATGCCCAGGGTGATCCCACTCGCTATCCCTTGACTCCTGTCTCGTTATGTGAATCTCTATGCACTTTTTTTATGAACCCTGATTTGCGTATTTTTTTCATTTTTTTACCCTTGACTCTTTCTAGATCTTAAAGAATAGCGGCAAATGCAATGAATTTTTAGTCAATTTATTGGAAAACGAGTTCTGTTTGTAAGATAATTATCATAAATCTCACAAACATCTTTGTTTCTATTTATCAGTTAAGTGGAGTCTGTGATAACTTTCTTTTGCCCGGTAGTTTGTGCACGTGCGTGAGTATGTGTACGATTGTTTATATGTCACGTGGCGAAATGACCTACAATATATAAAAAAAACCTCACTAAACAGGAAAGAAATCAGTCTGTATTAATATAAACACTGTCACGTGCTTGGGTTCGTGTCACGACAAACATGATAGACATCTGTCTGCTTGCCACCTAATATTACATATAGCTGTAATGCACATGCAATCCATTATTGAATATACCACAGTACGTGATACTGATACGGTTGCCTGGCTACAATGCCAGCACAATCATTAACAGCTAAGTACAGTGTCTGGTTTTAAAGCTCTAAACTTTAACGAGGGGGTCGCTGTCGTTTTACCAAGAGGTTACAACATTCAAGGCCTTAGTAAAGGTTTTCTTGTGGACACGGGGAGGACATTTCGAAATTTGATGCATCAGTGAAAATACAATGTGGCATACGTTCAGGTTTTTCAGATGAATATTTTCCTAGTCTTTGCATGTGTTTATGATAGGTTCCACCGATAGGGCAGGATACGCTCACCTTTTTCTAGAACACCTGATTTCATGACTATTTGATAGTCATTCATAAACACATGTTCTGTCATCGTATCTCGTGTCAATCACTGGGTTGTCTGGTCCAGACTCTATTATCAAGTTCTTCTCTTTAGCGAAGTTCTTCACTATGTTATATTCAGACAGACCAAGGCTCCAATTTCATCTCTGGTGTACTTCAGCAGGCATAACTCAGGTTAAGTCTAATCTATACCATCTGGTTCTTTAGGGCTCTCTCTAGAGATTTCATAAGGCTCTTACGAATATGTAAAGTGACTGACTGTGTTGAGACTGAGAAGGATGAAGGCATTCATTTGTTGTTGTTTGCTCTCAGCGAGTCAGTTCTTTAGGTTTCAGTGCTTTTGAGCTTGGCTTTGGCCAAACTCTTCATGGGCCTTTAACGTACTTGAAGGAACAATGGCTTAATGTTTGAAATGCGTTTGTTGGACCATGTTTCGTCGTTTCTGACTAGGATTTCTTAAATGCATGTGAAGTTGCAAGGGATAGAAAAAGACAATAAGTCCCAAGAAATAAATTTCAGTCCGGGAGAAAATGTGTATTTGCAAATCCCTGGCTACCCTGTTAGGTACGATGGGCTGGGAGTCAATTATACTAACACCAGGCCAAACATATATAGCTAGGTCATCTGAAGTAACATCTAACCATGGCCGATACTAGGAAAAGGACATAGTGTAAATAACTGGCAAAAGTCGCTTCTATAAATTGGCCATTATTCCAAACTCTCTGCTCTGAAAAACTTATACCGGACAACTTCAGGAATGTTCCTGATCCCATGGAACTATTTTCTGATATCTTAAATACTATTGCAGACGAAACCATTCCTAAGTCCTCTGCAAACCCGCACATACTGCAAACAAGCTAGGAAAAATAGGAAGAAGGCGGAAAAATACTTCCGACAACATCCTACTGTGCATAACCTGGATGCCGTTAAAATGACAAATGCCACGGCAAGACGTACATGTATACAAACTAAACGCCGGTCATGGAGGAAATATGTGTCCAAAATCAACTCCCGCACACCCATGTCCAAGGTGTGGAACATATTTCAAAAGATTAAGTGCAAAGGATCCAAATCTGGTGTTCGTCATATCAAAGATGGTGACTCCCTTTTAACCAATAAAGTTGAAATTGCAAACAAACTTGGCGAAACTTTGGCAAACCACTCCTCCTCGTCAAACTATAACCCCAAGTTCCAGAAATACCAAACCCAACAAAAAAGGAAATCAGTCAATTTTAACTCTGATAATGGTGAGGATTACAATGAAACGTTTTCTCTCCATGAACTAAGCACTACCCTGGGGCAGGCTCACGACACTGCAGCAGGAGCTGATGATATTCATAATCAGCTTCTCAAACACCTCCCTGGTTCAAGTTTTGAAACTCTACTCAATATATTTAATGACATTTGGACAACCGGCAACTTTCTTCCTTCGTGGCACAACGCCATTATTATCCCTATACCAAAACCTGGCCGGGATCATACTGATCCCTCAAACTACCGTCCTCTATCACTTACTAGCTGCGTTTGTAAAACCATGGAGCACATGGTCAACAATCGATTAATCTGGTACTTGGAGACCAATAACCTCCTCAGTGACCTCCAATGTGGTTTCCGAAAAAACCGAAGTACCATTGACCATCTGGTGCGTCTGAAATCTTTTATAAAAAATTTCATTGTCAACAAACAACATACTGCATCTATCTTTTTCGATTTCGAAAAAGCATACGATACAACGTGGAAACATGGTATCTTAAAAGATTTACATGAATTTGGAACTGAGGGGCAGATTACCTCAGTTCATATCTTAGTTTTTTAAACAACAGACAATTTCAAGTACGGGTAGGTTCCACATTGTCTGAGTATTTCCACCAAGATCAGGGCGTCCCTCAAGGCAGCATTCTGTCTGTCACCCTTTTTAGCATCAAGATTAACAGCATCACTAACGCCTTGAACAGTTGTGTTGATGGGTCCCTTTTCGTGGACGATTTCAATATTTCATGCCGTGGTAAGAACATGCACGCAATAGAAAGGCAGCTACAACTATGCCTTAACAAAATCAAAAAATGGGCAAATGAAAATGGCTTTAAATTTTCAAAATCCCAAACAAATTGTATTCACTTGTGTCGTAAATACAAACCACACAAGGATCCAGACCTATCTTTAGATGGCACTCCCATCAAGGTAGTAGAAGAGGCCAAATTCCTGGGACTCATATTCGACCGTCACCTGACATTCTAACCACACATAAAATATTTGAAAACCAAGTGCTTGAAGGCTCTGGACATCGCCGCATTAAACTTTCACTGCAATATATCACTAAATTACGTTCAAATCAGTCCAATCCAGCATACAATTGTGTTTTCAACCCTCTCTATGAAAACCTGTTTCCCAAACTGCCAAGCCTGGTTCCACCACTTGGAATCATAATTCAACCACACATATGTGCAGCTAAAATTGATCTCAATATCATAGCACCTTACCGGCTTCTGTCTTCACTACCCTGGCAGATGGTGAAACCACACGTCGATCTTACCCTCACGTAACTTAAAAAGTCCGAAACAAATCTTTTGGTGTTCCAGCAGGAATACAACCAGTTACGTTCCAAGTATGACACCCATAGCTCCATTTTCACAGACGGATCCAAGGATGAGGGATAAGTTGCCAGTGCTACAGTCATTGGATCCAAGACTGTCTCCTCTAGGTTTCCCGACAACAGTTCCATTTTCACTACCGAGGCCAAAGCTATCTTCTCAGCATTGACCTACATTAAACAGCAGAATCACTCCAAAAACTTCATCGTTTTTACAGATTCATTATCTTGCCTTCAAGCACTTCAAAATATAACTTCAAGTCACCCAATCATTCTGCACATTTTAGAAATTTACAACGACCTTTCTACTGGCCAATGTGACATCGTCCTCTGCTGGTTGCCGGGTCACGTCGGCATAGCAGGTAACACAAAAGCCGATGCTGCAGCTAAAGCAGCTCTTGACAAACCCTTATCTCCACTGCTGATCCCATACAGTGATTTCAAACCCACTATCAAAAGCTATACTCGGGACCTCATGCAAAAAAGGTGGGACACTCAAGTAGGAAGAAATAAACTGTATGAATTGAAGCCAACAATTGGTTATACCTACTTGGGTTGTCAGCGATGAGGTAATTTTACGACGATGTCGTATTGGCCACAGTCGGTTTACACATGACTATCTGCTGAAGACGGATGGGGATGGACCCTCCATGTGTGTCTCTTGCGATAAGGTTTTCACCATCAAGCATATTCTGCTTGACTGTGTAGACTTGTTGTCTGCAAGGGACTCACACTATGATGCAACAAATCTGAAAGATCTGTTCTCCCGCGTGAGCGCTCATCTGATAGTGAACTACCTGAGGGAAGTGGATCTGTATCATAAATTGTAACTGTGTAATGTGACAAACGAACTGCCTGCTTTTAAATTTGGTGCTATGACTTTTTCGGTTTTTTCAATGACAATGTAATGAATATATATGCTTTTGAAATAAAACTCATTCCGAGTATGTACTTGTTCTCGTCACTATATGGCTGGAATAATGCCGATGAGACGTACAACCCAACTCAACTCAAGTTCTATAGCAACGTGTATCAACGTGTGTGTGCGTGTGTGTATGCGTGCGTGTGCGCGTGCGTGCGTGCATGCATAAAAATACGCGCATGCGTGCGTGCGTGCGTGTGTGTGTGTGTGTGTGTTGGTCCCAACTATCAACTCGGCACTTGCAATTTCCCCTTAATGTGGTCGGTGACTTGTTTTGGTTATACCATCGTAGCCCCAACACACGGATCGATGATCATGATGTCAATCACTGGATTGTCCGATCCAGATCGATTATCTGGCTGTGACTTTACACAACAAAGAAACATCCCCCTAATACGGAACGCTAGGAAAGGAAACATCAAGTACCATCCTCTTTACCGATTTTGGTATGGAGTACCAAACACAAAAGCACGGACCTCGACCACGGAGGTGATTCGGTTAATAGGGACGAACGGCATTACTTGTAGGTTATGTTTTGTGTACGTGTTGGACCAACAGCTTTAACTTCATGAGTTCATCACCTTGAATCCCGTCTTGTTGTAATGTAGTGGGGGTTAATTCAATGTAAACCGTGTATAGCTAGGCAATAGCACGAAAAAAACAGGCACATCTTTGAAACTATTTGTAGGCGTGTTTAATTAGCGACGTTTCCGACTGGTTTACGGAATGTGTCCTGTAATTGTGTCATATATCTACTGTCCATTGCTGTGGCTGTATACCGACCCGACTGAAGCACGACAAGGCTGCCAATACGGACACTGAGTCTCAGTCTGGGTGACGACGGCTGGGCAAGGATTCCTTGTGAATACGACTACCATTTGACAATCTGACTAAATGGGTGGTTATGATTTCGTTCATTGAATGTTCCGTCGAGCGTTTAAGGATGCCTACCCGTTAATAATAACCTGGGACACACCAAACACTACGTAGCATTACGTCATTCGTAAGTCAGTGGTGTAGTACTTGAGTTACGAGGTGTCGTAACGTTACGAACTCTTTGTGGATCGGGACAGGAACCCGGTTCCAGAGAGCAAACGAAGCACTCAGGTTATGGTAAGTCCTATACGTCCACGTAGACCGGTGACTGTCGTAGCGCCACCGGGTCATTAAGGAGTTGCATGGCAGAACGTTGGTAGTCCATCATCACGCACCATCAGAGGCTTGGAGTGTTGTTTACAGACGAGTCGACTGACGACAATAGTCTTCATTACGCTCACAATAACTTGGGTACGATTTAATCTTGCAGTATGGACTTTTTACAATTATCAGATAAAATCTGACTGCGATATTCCTCCAGTGCATACTGGTATGTCATCGTAGACGACTATCATGAATCGTCAATACAGTGTTGTATACTGCACAGAGTATACTGCGCACATTATACAAGACGATACTCCTACAATGGAATACTCAGAGTTTTGTATGTTCTATAATATACATTTCTTTCTATAACACGTGTTTTTCGTGTCCCCAATGTCATCAAACCAAAACACGCTGTCCACAGTTGTCGCCGTCGGAGGCATCTGACTGCCCGAGTCAGGCCTGTTGATGTCAGTATGTAATATGCACGTATAAAGAGAATGAGTTGTATGATGTTACGTCACTTTTAACAACACATGTTCCTCAGTGGACACTTGAAGTCGGCTTCACACATTGCGCCTATGTGTTGAAACAAACACGGGCATTAGGCGTGACGTGCAACCGGTTTCGTGCACAGAGAAAACAGATATGAGAAATCACTTCTATTGTTCCGCAATAACTGAATGACCCACCTATTATAAACTAAAACAAGCACAGTCATCAACACAGAATTTATTTGATCAATTTTGATCGTCGTTGGCATTCCTGTGTCCAGATTTATATGCTATTAAACTGTAACTAGTAAAAGGACAATCTTGCTATTATGGCCATCAGCTATATCTAGGCATAAGTAGATACATCTTGCTTTGAATATTGGTTTGTTGTTCCAATATGTATAGGCTAAGGTAGTGTGTGCATCATATCAATGTACCCATAACACGCATATCATATGAAAACGCAAATATTTTAATTCCAACACCCAACTGACACGTAAAATCATATTTCTGTTGATAAGTCAATAATAACACTGATCATTTTGGTTCAGATAATGTATACTTAAATGCAATGACAAATTATCGGATCAGTAGCCAAATGCCCACGAATGCGCCTACGCCAGCATTGTTATTGAACATGAAACTGATAAAAAACACTGACTATATTTGCAGTAAATGTCATAGGAATGCAGGTCTGTCTATTATCTCTCAAGAAACAAACTTCTACGTTATTCCGAGAAGAACAATTCCGTTTCGTGGTGACATTTTCTACGTGGCTGTCGATGAAAGTATGTTGTTTCCAGATTAGCCAGTACATGTTTATTGTATATAATCCCGTCTTTCATTAATTGATAGATTCCCTATGAAGTCAGAATGGACGTGTACACTCTGCTCTCTTCCATTGTTATGTTTGCATCAGTAAGACGGTATATTGTACAGTCCGTTTGAAACAAAATGTTACCGATGAATTGCAATCTATCACAAAAACAAATAGACATAAAAGAATCAAACCAACGCGGACTGCAATAAACACAACAGACCAACTCTAGGAAGAAATTGCATAATTTATGTTACAAAATTAAAAAAGTTGTTTAAGAAACTGTCATCATTTATTTGTGCGTTTGTCAAGTTTGTTACAAGGGCGCAGTGGCAACTAAAGGAACAGCGCGAAAAGCGCACAAATAAATGATGACAGTTTCTTAAACAACTTTTTTATTTTTGTGACATAAATTATGCAATTTGTTTCAAGATTTGGTCTGTTGTTTTTATTGCAGTCCGCGTTGGTTTGATTATTTTATGTCAATTTGTTTTTGTGTCAGATTGCAATTCATCGGTATCATTTTGTCTCAAACGGACTAGTCTACAGTACCTCTCAAGGTAAGACACGATCTTATCTCCAACTGTTGCCGGTTTACAGATCCACGTCCTGTAGATGATACATTAACTGTGTAATCCTGATACAGGTGGAATCAGATAGCTTCGGCGGCATCCTTTCATTCATTGGTTTACGAATGTTACCCCTCAAACACTTTAAGTGGTATTTAAAAGACATTATACACATGTACTTCATTCAACTTTTTATGAAAACATATAGTCAAGCAGATGGAAACATAAACTGTCAAGTTAACTATCTTCCTGCACACTAGGGCGAGTCAGAAGCGGGACAAAATATACATGTTTACTTCATATACGGGGTTGATCAGTCCACGCGAAGAACTTTCTGTTGAAGTATTTGTTCCACATTTCTAAACTGACGTACAAAAGAAAGTACACACCTGATGCGTTGGTACAATGTTTTCCTGAAAACAGCGTAATATTTAGAAAAGTGTTTTGATTGCGACTCACAAGTCACAAACATTGTGTACGTGTTGCAATAACACCATAGATATCGTACCCAATTGGAACATTGCTAGCAAAATATTTACGTTGTTTTGATAGTCTCAAAGCACCAAGTGTGTACTTTCTTTTGCACATCAGTATAGTTTCTTGCATCTGTAGATTCATAAACTAACTTGTAAATGGAAAATAACACTTTTCAAATTCCTCTCATGGGTTCATGTCGTTAAATCTTTACTAAGACTTCATGTGACAGGTAGTATTGTCAAAGCTGTATGTACGTACCTGTTGTAGACAGAATAGTTCACAGAATGTAGAGAACAGAGGGTAGCGTACAGGTTAATTACTTGTCTAGCCGATTCCGAATTCATAACGTATACATGGATCAAAATGACAATGAAGATTGATATGTTTTCTTCTGCTGAGGTATTAAGGTAGGTAATTTAGTTCTTGCACATTCGCGTAGTAGGTTAAGTGTAAATGTTCCCAACTAAACACCCATCAATTAACTACTTGTGGATAAATATACCCTGATAAATAAATATAAAAGTCAACAAATATGGTTATATACAATAAGTGTTACAGCTTTTACATTAGATAACACACGTGCGTTGATTACTTTCTAAATGCTTCAGCTCTAACGTGCAGCGTTGTTTAATGCAGCAGTAAGATGGTACATGGTGCTTCATCAAGACTTCCTGGACAGACCAGTCAATATCAGCCGTTATATCACAGATACACTTCATCAGCTCATCGGAGGAACCACTGTTTATCTAAACCCGGGCCAGATCTTCCCCCCGTGTTTGTAGATATTTGTGGGGTTGCTCTTCCCAGACCCGGCCGTCATTCGGCCCGACATGTCATACCCGTCGTCAGACAGCGGGATAGACCCCCTCCTTGGGGGTCCCTTGCGTCGTTCCTCCCCCATCCACGACCCCTGACTGCTGGGAGGACGGCCGTATGAGTCAGTGATATTTCCGCTGCCCCTGTTCTTGCAGTACTTCCACAGTGCCATGCCTCCCCCTGCCAGAACCATAGAACTCAGAGCACCGGTGGCAGCTGCCAGACCAACACTACGGGTGTCTTTCGCGCCAAAAGCCGCCGTGTCGCCATCTTGGAACGTACATGTGCAGCCGGTGTTGGTGTTACACTGTAAACCAATTTACAAAACACTGACAGATTTGAAAATTAATTTCATATCATATTTCTTAGTGAGGCCACTGTGAGACGTATTTTCTTGAGACACAGCATAGGGTACCATACCACAGATCACGCCTTGTATTTATAACCAACTTGTCTTTTCACGATGACAGAAAATCAGATGTAAATTGTGTAAACTGTTGCCTGACTGTATCAGTGCCAGTGGCCAGAATGTATATTTCTATTGAGGTAAGACAGTTGTGTATCTGTGACTGACAATTCTGGTAGATCAATGAAGTGAACATACCCATTCATCACTGAAGAAGAAATGAGGTCATCTAGATATGTTAAACTGAGGATTTACCTTCCGACAACCTGACTTAACGAAATGAGTCAAACCTGACTCGGATAGAAACATTGACCAGCTACCAGCGTTGTTCCCACAACCTCTCAATGAGTATTATCCTGAAGTCTACGGAATAATGATATAATATATTTTATGAAAAGTAGGCATTTTAAAAGCATCTAAATATGGCGAAGTCTGAGATCGATATCCATACCATTAAGCGCTTCTTAAATGCGATTTGTTAAATATATCGTTGCCTTTCACATCTAAAATTTACCTACATATCTGTCTCATTAAAGAATTGCACAGCATTTTTAGACTAATAAAAGTAATTTTAGTCATTTAGTAAGACACTTAAACTGATATTGGTAAATTCGTAACCGTACTCAAATGATGGCACAGTCTTTGTAGATTTCCCAGCATATTCTTTTACCACAGACTCTGTTTCTGTATAACTCACCTCCTCTGCAACCACTTCGATGAGAAGTAAGGCAACCAAGCTGAGTACTATCCCAAACACTGGGACCTTCAAACTCATCTTCCACTCAGCTTGGTGTGTGACGGTATTGTCCGAGTCTCGACAATGCACCCCCATCCAGTCCACAGTGACCGTAACTTGCGTTATACACTCACGTGTCAGTAAGCTACAATCCCAGTACGTTATCAGGGCGGTCGCTGGGTAATACAGTAGAAAGTCTCCACCCCACGTCAGCGGACAAAAATACAAGAAATCAATAGGATTACATTGCCTTCATAAAGTCATACATCTGCCGGTGTTATCACATTGCGCGGTAGGGTTGTCGTATCATGGCACTTTGACCTATGTTTATTTTTATCTGTTTAAGAGGTTAATGTTCTGTTGACGTTTGGAGATGAAATTCCTCCCGTGTTGTACAGAACCCAGTACATGCCAGGAAGCTGAAACAGTCGCCGTTTGAAGTAACCGTCCACTAGGCACAAGATGTGTTCTATCCTTGTACACACGTGTCAATAGCGTCACCCTTGTCGTGGCCTTGTAATGCCTACTGATCATTGTGGAATGATAAAAGATGTGTTTATTTTATATAAAAACAAATTGTATTTTCAAATAAATTCATTGTTCTGTCGAAGCAGTAATTACTGTACCTCACTATAGTTGAAGACGAGTTAACTGTATGAGAGCCATGCCATCGTCGTCCGCTAATGATTTAATACGGGACCTCTACTGTTATATACAGGAAAGTTTCTCCCAAAACCATGCCCAGAAAATCACTTGCAGGAACAACATTCAATGAGTTCCATGATTCAATTCAATGTTTGTCTCGTTAATATATCTTGTTTCCCGATATGCTGGTCTTTTATACACAGGCTTCAAAACACTACATGACAATGCGGCATATATCTAGCATTGTCCATACGTTTCTGAAGGCACTTCACAGGGGACATGTCTGTCTGGACATCGATTACTGTTAGAATGACATCGTGTTATAGACAAAGTATTACCCCCGAGTGAACACATTAGCAGGTACACTAGGTAACAGAACATATGTTTTATGCGTGATTCATACGGTTTGAATTCATCCAAACATTCACAGAAACTGACAACCTTTAGGCCTGGATCTGGTCATGTACACTGGCCCAAAAAAGAAACGCATAGGTGAAAATCCAGTGTTATCAGTGATGCTTTAATAACTTAAATTACACAAAAAGTAATGATAATAGAGCAATAACAATTCACACAGGTATTGGGATATGTGTATCAATAGAAATACAGTCATTCACAGTGGTATTGAGAGTCTCTGTTTTTTGATGGCACAGTCACAAAGTCAGTATCTGGTGTGACCACCACGAACCTCAATCACTGCTCTGCATCGCCTGGGCATAGACTGTATAAGACGTCGGATCCGCCGTTGTGGGATTCTTCTCCACTCATCCTGCAACGCATCGACAAGCTGTTGACGTGTCTGTGGTTGCGGCTATCGGCGTCGTACACGTTGATCCAACTGGTCCCACAAATGTTCAAATGGATTAAGATCCGGAGATTTTGAAGGCCATGGAAGAACTGTAATGTTGTTGATGGCAAGGAAATCTGTTGTAATGCGTGCTGTATGAGGTCTTGCGTTGTCATGCTGGAAAATTTCTCTTCTAGCGTCAATTACGGGAATAACATGACGTACCAGGATTTCATCACGATAGCGCACAGCATTCAAATTCTCTTGGAAATGCACCAGCTCTGTTCTGTCATTCACAGATATGCCTGCCCACATCATTACACCTACGCCGCCGTGTCTGTCGACCTCACGAACACACTGTCGAGCATATCTTTCATTTCGACGTCTGTAAATCCGCATCCTGCCATCATGTCGATACAGCATAAACCGCGACTCGTCGCTGAACCAGATCCTCCTCCAGTTCAAGAGGGTCCATGGCCGAACGTCCCTGCTCCATTGAAGACGTGCACGACGATGGTGGTGTCGCAGAACAGGTCCTGTATGTGGTCACATCGGTCGGATTCCATGCTCTCTTAGGCGATTCCTGATGGTTTGTGCAGAGACTCGACGCAGCCCAGGAACATTGTCAGCGGTGTACGCTGCAGTGACGGTCCGATTTCGCAGATGAAACACCCGGATGAAGCGGTCTTGCGCTGGAGTTGTCACCCTTGGTCTCCCACTCCTAGGACGATCTCTGGTCGAGTTGTGCTGCGTGTAGCGCTGCCAGAGACGGGAAATCGTACGCTGCCTCACGTTTAGATGTCTGGCAACTGATGACTGGCTTTCTCCAGCTTCCAAGTGTCCAATGGCTCTGTTTCTGCTTTCTTCGTTTAGTCGTGGCATCTTGAGCGTCGCATATACAGAATTTCGGAGAATGAATCGCAACAGGACTGGTGGCTTTTTATACCCATCAGTATCAAGATTCAGATCCCGTATTTGCCCGTGCATCATGCTTTCAGAGTTTTCTACATGCAGATTATACGGGAATTTTTTCAAGGTGCTGTGTTTTGGCGAATAATCACCAAAGGTTGTGTTTGCGTGTGTTGGATAATTGTATGGGCTATATTCACACTTAATATTAACATTGACAGTCATTCCATGCCATATTTTTCGAAACAATCTACTTTGAAGATCAGAATCCAGCTATGAGTATCTTTTTTGGGCCAGTTTACGAATCTTGAAAGTTAACGAAATGTCACCATTAAAATAATTTCATATAATTTCCATATCGACTACATATGGCAAGATAAAATATGCTTTCTTTGTCCAATGGGAATTTTTGGTTATGTCGTGAAAGAACATATAACATAATGCGTAAATAAATACACTAAATATGTAAGATATTGTACAGCACTAAGGTTTCAACACAAATCGTGGTCTAAAATAAGTAACAGTATTTGCCTTATTACAGAAAGTCCAATAGCAGGTTACTGGAGTACACAATGTAACCTATAGCAATGATGTGTAATGGAAATCACTGTGTAAGAACTGAATAACAGTGATAGTGTAAGGCACAAGTCTACAACAAACCTAAACTAATTAAATCCTCCACCTAATCTTTCATGCCAGGTAACGTTAGCCGTAAGTCATGTTTATTGTCTGACCAGGAACACTGTAAGCATAACGTCGATTTCATTATAGACGTTGTCACATACCAGTCGATACACATAAACCTATCACAGCCTGGTGTTGCCATACCAGAATCACCCTCATATGATCACTCTTTACTAGTCTCTGTTCGTCTCAAGTTAATATGTTAATCCTTACAACAAATAGGCGGGTCTATCGCGTATGTTCTCCGTTGAACAGCCTGCGATATTTAGCCAGGGATATATGGCTTTATTAGATAAATGGTTAATTAAATGATGTGTTTTCAATTGTTATTGAACTAAAGTGTCTCTACGTGAGGTACTATAATCCAACAATCAAGCCTTCAAAATCCGTATTGATAGTTTGTGTCCTGACCAGAATGACGTTACTTGTTTGTCGTAACAGGCCAGGGAACCATGGCAACTGTATGAATAAGTCTCTGGTGTTTTCAACTCTTGCCATTAGGAATATGTGAACGCAGCGAGGTGCATGTACATGTGATGTTGAGGTCTTCAAGTCGTAGTATGTCCCATATGGTGACGTCGTTGCTACTTCAGGGGGGTGACAGGATAACGCGGCCCAGTCTCCGGGGGGTCCCCGCTGTGGGGTGGGGGAACTAGGAGGTGTCAATATATATATCTTGGATATATCTTCCTACGACCGCCTCGCTGGTGTAATCGATAGAGCTTCTCTCCAGAGTTACGGTGGTACGGTTTTCAGTCTCGTCTTACAAAAATTGGTAATTTGTGTTACCCTGGTTAGCACTCGACATTATGGAGATAAATATCAAGACTGGTTGACACTCGACATTAAGGAGATAAAATCAAGAATGGTTGACGCTCGACATTAAGGAGATAAAATCAAGACTGGTTGACACTCGACTTTAAGAGAAAAAATCAAGACTGATTGGGACTCGACATTAAGGGGGTAAAATCAAGACTGGTTGCACTCGACATTAAGGAGATAAAATCAAGACTAGTTGCATTCGACATTAAGGAGATAAAATCAGGACTGGTTCACATTCGACATTAAGACAAAAAATCAAGACTGATTGGGACTCGACATTAAGGGGGTAAAATCAAGATTGGTTGGTACGCGACATTAAGACAAAAAATCAAGACTGATTGGGACTCGACATTAAGGGGGTAAAATCAAGACTGATTGGGACTCGACATTAAGGGGGTAAAATCAAGACTGGTTGGTACTCGACATTAAGGAGATAAAATCAAGACTGGTTGACACTCGACATTAAGGGGGTAAAATCAAGATTGGTTGGTACTCGACATTAAGACAAAATTCAAGACTGATTGGGACTCGACATTAAGGGGGTAAAATCAAGATTGGTTGACACTCGACATTAAGAGATAAAATCAAGACTGATTGGGACTCGACATTAAGGGGGTAAAATCAAGACTGGTTGACACTCGACATTAAGACATAAAAAATCAAGACTGGTTGACTGATCAAGACTGGGACTCGACATTAAGGGGTAAAATCAAGACTGATTGGGACTCGACATTAAGGGGATAAAATCAAGACTGGTTGCACTCGACGTTAAGGTGATAAAATCAAGACTGGTTGACACTCGACATTAAGGGGGTAAAATCAAGATTGGTTGGTACTCGACATTAAGAGAAAAAATCAAGACTGATAAGGACTCGACATTAAGGGGGTAAAATCAAGACTGGTTGACGCTCGACATTAAGAGATAAAATCAGGACTGATTGGGACTCGACATTAAGACGGTAAAATCAAGACTGGTTGACACTCGACATTAAGAGATAAAATCAAGACTGATTGGGACTCGACATTAAGGGATAAAATCAAGACTGGTTGACGCTCGACATTAAGAGATAAAATCAAGACTGGTTGGTACTCGACATTAAGAGATAAAATCAGGACTGGTTGGTACTCGACATTAAGAGATAAAATCAAGACTGGTTGGTACTCGACATTAAGAGATAAAATCAGGACTGATTGGGACTCGACATTAAGGGGGTAAAATCAAGACTGGTTGACACTCGACATTAAGAGATAAAATCAGGACTGGTTGGTACTCGACATTAAGAGATAAAATCAGGACTGATTGGGACTCGACATTAAGGGGGTAAAATCAAGACTGGTTGACGCTCGACATTAAGAGATAAAATCAGGACTGGTTGGTACTCGACATTAAGAGATAAAATCAGGACTGGTTGGGACTCGACATTAAGGATAAAATCAAGACTGGTTGGTACGCTCGACATTAAGAGATAAAATCAGGACTGGTTGGTACTCGGCATTAAGAGATAAATCAGGACTGGTTGGGACTCGACATTAAGGGGGTAAAATCAGGATTGACCAAAAGAATCACATTAGTGCCCTGTCAGAAATATATGCCGACTTATAGTTAGGGACCTTTCTCACATTTCCCAATTACACGCTGACGTATAATTCTGTATATGATATTAACTGTAGTTTTATTGTACACTCCTGTTCGCGTTGTAGTGAGCGTTGTTATACTGAGACTGGAATGATGCAACACAACGCATGCAGTCTCGGGATACTGATTACCGTATTCATCAAATCGTAGTCAGGAACATGATCATCACATTTCCTGTAAACTGTCCCCCCAGCAATCAACAATAGCAATCAATGTGAACATTCACCCATCAAGCTTTACATATGGAGACGCTGTTTTTTATCACAATCAAAATATATGTTTACGGAAGAACACCTATAGCTCCCCCTTGATGAATGATGCAGATCGAGACAATTTTAATTATAACATTCAGGTTTATTCCATGGTATAAACGGAAAAATATTAAAAAGCAAATTGTAAGATCTTTAGATCCTGGTGATCACAGTCAATCAACAATGTCACACAACTGCCATCAAGAAAACCTGATCCAAATGTCCAGACACTGACTTTAACACTAATTATTTATGAAAGAAAGCGATGTTAACTTAAGCTATTACAAATCAGTAAATTTTAGCCAGTTATTACCAAATAATTCCGATTTAATTACACAAGTGTATCTCGATAGATGTATGTATTGTCAGTCGGACCAACTGACCGGAAGTACTCTAATCACATCCAGGAGTTGATACTTCCTCTCCGCGGAGTGCCGAAATGGTTGGCTGGCATGAACGAGGGGGCGAGACATGGGTGCGCCCCTCGGGGTCCCCGCGAACATAGATCCATCCTCCCCGGCAAGGGAGCTTACGGAGGAGTTGCGAGGAAGGTCAACGTCCGAAGGAAAGTCGTCTTCATCGTTATCAAACACCGACAACGCCGACTGCCGCCGCTTGTATGGGTCATAATCGGAAGGTGTGCTGCTTTCCAGGGATGGCTTCCTGTCGAAGTCCTTCGTCAACACCTGCCGTTTGGGGTAGGTCGGATGGGTGACGTTGAAGCCACTTGATGACGACGAGGCCAGCTTCCATACTCCATACCCCAGCCCTCCTAGGAGAAAGGGGGCGACAACGCCTGCAGTGGCTGCAACAGCTTCCGGCCAGATTGGCGTACCCTGGCTGCCACCGGAAGTGCAGTTACATGTCCGGGCACACTGAAATACACAAACATTCCAAAATGAATCAATGATTTATGTTCATATCCGATGTAGTTATATCCTAACAAATATCGGTCACATAATCCATGATCATAAGAAAAATGTTCTGAAAGCTTAACACTAAACGGTTCAACCTTGATATGGAGGCGAGGCAATATTCAGTTGGCACTAAAAGAGATAAAACCCTTTCTCCTTTATCATGAAAGTATAATATCAAAGCCCGAGATGAAACCGGTCTTGATTATCATCTGTAACAGCAACAAACGTCTTTCAGTCTAAAGGTAAGAACATTGTTGGGAAGGTAATGCACTGTACAAACTCGCTATGGCAATAAGTATGTGTGAGTGTGTATGTGCATTATATTGTGAAATATTTCTGTTCGTCTGAATGGATACTACGGGTAGAATAGTATATGTAAAGACCCTTTTCGCGAATATCTGGTGTCATCTCGGATTTTCAGTGAACCGTTTATGCATTTGTGGTCACTACTTCATCCTTACGTCCAACTAGCAGACATGAAGGTGACTCCATGGCTTCACTACTTTACCCACCACGACCAACTAGCAGACATCAAGGTGACTCCATGGCTTCACTACTTTACCCCTACGACCAACTAGCAGACATGAAGGTGACTTTCCATGGCCCAACTAGCAGACATGACTTTTACCCCTACGACCAACTAGCAGACATGAAGGTGACTCCATGGCTTCACTACTTTACCCCTGCGACCAACTAGCAGACATGAAGGTGACTCCATGGCTTCACTACTTTACCCCCTACGACCAACTAGCAGACATGAAGGTGACTCCATGGCTTCACTACTTTACCCCCTACGACCAACTAGCAGATCATGAAGGTGACTCCATGGCTTCACTACTTTACCACCTACGACCAACTAGCAGATATGAAGGTGACTCCATGGCTTCACAACTTTACCCCGTACGACCAACTAGCAGACATGAAGGTGACTCCATGGCTTCACTACTTTACCCCCTACGACCAACTAGCAGACATGAAGGTGACTCCATGGCTTCACTACTTTACCCCCTACGACCAACTAGCAGACATGAAGGTGACTCCATGGCTTCACTACTTTACCCCCAAGTAGCGACCAACTAGCAGCTTCACATGACCTACGACCAGCTAGCAGACATGAAGGTGACTCCACGGCTTTACTACTTTACCCCTGCGACCAACTAGCAGACATGAAGGTGACTCCATGGCTTCACTACTTTACCCCTGTGACCAACTAGCAGACATGAAGGTGACTCCATGGCTTCACTACTTTACCCCCTACGACCAACTAGCAGACATGAAGGTGACTCCATGGCTTCACTACTTTACCCCCTACGACCAACTTGCAGACATGAAGGTGACTCCATGGCTTCACTACTTTACCACCTACGACCAACTAGCAGACGTGAAGGTGATTCCATGGCTTCACTACTTTACCACCTACGACCAACTAGCAGATATGAAGGTGATTCCATGGCTTCACAACTTTATCCCTTACGTTCACGTTTGGACGATTATTCATTTGCTGGTCGAGATAGTAAAATAGTTTATGAAACATTCCCGTTGTTTACAGGTAGATGAAACCCAGCCTGAGGAGGAAGCCTGCTTGTCACAGCACTGTTGAAGGTGAAACAGTTATATATTCACTTTAGAGAATCACAATAAGAATAGTGCTAATAAACTAAAGTATTGTAAAGAAATAGTTTCTAAAGATCAGTGGTTAAAAACGTAAAACATAATTAAGAATATATGGAAAGCTATAACTTACGAAACTGTCTACCGCAATCACAAGTCCCAGGTGACAGACGGCCACACACACAAGCAGAGGACGCGCCATTGTCAGTCGAAGGTAGTGGTGGCAAATCCCACGTTAAGACATGGATTTTATCTACGTCGTTATTTTCACTAGGCCGTGGTATATGTATCGATTATTGGCCGATAAGAAAGCATATGGATCATTTTGAAATCTTGTTAATTTGCTTTATTAGATTCAAAATGTGTAACATTTTGTTTAGCATTGTTTAGTAAGGTGAGATTATGGTGACTCCGTATTCCCGTTTTTCTGGGGTTTTTTATTTATTTTATTTTGATTCTCCATACATCCAGGTCATACAGTTCATTACATAACGGGTTGGTATAAACACGATTCGCAAATATATACAAAGTCGATTTACAGGCAAATGTGCATTCAGGTGGAAATGAATAGGTACTTGAAAATATAATAGCAGTACATTATATATAGCGCTAGGTTAACAGAACAGATTGTGGCATAGTGACCAAAATTTTGTGAAGCTGTCATATTTGCAATTTGAATAGGCGTGAAAACGTTCAGCATAAAATGTTGTCTTTACGTCTTCTATAATGTAGTTCAAATTTGGTGTTTTATCTCTTTGTTTCATTTTGTATATATTATATTTCACTACTGTTATTATCAAATTCAGAACATGGTTTCTCTTTTCACAATATCCTAGATAATATTTGACCCTGTTTTTTCGAATATCCATTCTTCTATTTTCTTCCAAATAGTTTTTATGACTTTACAGTCACGAAATAGATGTAGAATTGATTCTTTCTCGGATTTGCAAAATGTGCATGTGTTGGAGTCTTTATATTTCATTTTTGTTAGCAAATCATTTGTTGGCAGAAACCTATGCAGTATGCTGTATTGAAACCACGAGTGTTTTACACTATTATACGATTTAAAGGTTGTTTTTTCTATCGTTTCCCATATGTTATCGTCAATAGACTCATTAAGTTCTTTTTGCCACTTGTTTCGATATGTTAAAGGTTTTCTAGATTTACAATTTATGAGTATGTCATAGATATCTCTACATCCTTTTGGGTTTCCTACTATATTTCGTAAAAGATAGGGCAAGATCGGAGCTTGGATTTTCTCTTCAATATGGATGTTTATGGATTTGCAGTAGTATTTAATTGATTCCACTATTCCTTGACGCCCTAGGAAGTTAGTTTTGCACCCAAACGATTTTTTTAATTGTTCCACCGTTAAAAAGTTACCTTGGGCGTCAAACATGTCGTTTATATAAGTAATCCCTTTGCTTGAATAATGTTTATAATTGATTGGTTTTCCATCTATTTTAATATTGTCATTTAACCATAAGGGTTGGGATAAAATATCACATGCATTTTTTGTTTTTCTGCTTTTCTGGTTACGAATTTACCCCATGATTTCAAAGTGTCTTTCCAAAAGTGATTTGTTTCTTGTGTTATTACTGATTCAAGTATGTGTGTTTCGCATGTTTGTATAAAGCTGTCGATGTCCCAATGTGTCTTCGTTTGTAGCAATTTCCTTACTTTTGAATCTGAGGTGGTGGGTCTTTTAATCCATGATATTTTTTGTGATTGAATTAGATTTTTTATCTCTAGGGGCTTGTATTCCTCCGTATTCATAATTCTTTGTGATAGTTTCTCGACTGACTTTTGTCTGGTTTGTTTTTCCATATAAATTTATAGCAGAGCTGCTCAATTTCCTTAATAATTTGATCATTTGGGTTGGGTAGAGTTACAAATAAATGATTAAGTTGCGGTAAAAGTAAACTTTTCAATATGGTATTTCTACCTAAGGGAGTTAGATCTCTTGCTAACCATTGATTCATTGATATTTTGAGAGTCTTAAGTTAATCTTTATAGTTGCGTTCAACCATTTCTGCGTTGTTGTGAGTAAATACAATTCCTAATAGTGTAAACGAGTCACTCTTCCAGTCTAAATATCCAGTTTCTGCAAAATTTCTTTCAGAATTTTTTTCTGAGCCTATCCATAATACCTGTGTTTTGTTTACATTTATTCCTAAGCCTGAAAATGAGGCATATTTACTAAGAATTTCTAATGTCGCCTGTAAACATTTTTCAGTGCCATCTAGTATCAATGAAGTATCATCAGCGTATTGGGAAATTAGGTATTCTGTATCTCCAGTTTGTATTCCTTTTATTTTATTATTATTTCTAATCATTGTTGCCAAAATTTCTGCGCACAGTATAAAAATATAAGGGGAGATGGGATCTCCTTGTCTGCATCCTCTTGAGATATTGAAATAATTTGAAAGGAAACCATTTACAACAACACATGATTGAATGTTATTAAAGAAGGTATTTATCCATCTTGTAATCGATGGTCCAAAGTTAAAGAATAGAAGAACTTTTTGAATGAAATGCCAGTCAACAGAATCGAATGCCTTTTCAAAGTCAATAAGAAGTAGAATTCCTGGTATATTCATATATTCAGTATAGTCAATGATGTCATATATTAGGCGAGTACACTCACCAATATATCTTTTTGACATAAACCCTTTTTGATCCTCATTTATTATAGAGGGTAGGACTGTTTTTATTCTGTTTGCAATGGTTGATGATCCGATTTTATACGCTACATTCAGCAATGAAATGGGTCTCCAATTCTGAAGCAAATGTTTGGATTTACCTTTTTGGAAAACAGGTTATAATGCCTTGCTTTTGAGTCAAAGACAATTCTCCTTTCTCGTAAGCTAAATTTAATGATCTTATAAGATACTCGTGAATATTGGACCAAATCTTTTTGAAGAATTCAACAGTGAAACCCGATGAGCAAGGACTTCTTTCATTTTTCATTTTTTTAAGACTGTTTAATACTTCTTCATATCTTAATTGTCCTTCTAGATTTTCTTGTTGATTTTTTGATAGCTTTGGGACGTCTATTTTCTTAAGCAATTCTGTTAGGTTCACTTTTTCGGATGTTTTTTCGTGTATAGGTTATGGTAAAACGATTTAGTTTCAGTTATAAGATCTTTTTTGTGGTTAGGGTTTCCTTTTGATTGTTTTCAAGTTTATATATTGCTTTGTTTAAAAAGTTTCGATTTTCTAGAGACAGAAAATATTTTGTCGGTTTTTCTCCTTCTTCTTTCCATTTAGCTTTAGATCGTAGTAGTATCCCTTCTGTTTCTTTTTTATTAATAGTCTCTAATTCTCTATTTGCTTCTTTTAATTCATCCTGTAGCTTTGTTTTGGAATATGTATCATGTGATGAATCTATTTATATTTCAAGCTCATATATGTTTTTTTCAAGCGTTTGGCGCATATTCAAATTTTCTTTCTTTTTATAGGATGAATAATTTATTGTGTGTCCTCTGATCATTAACAAAAGCGTTTCAAAGAATAGCTGATCGTTTACTTTGAAGACATATTTCCCTGTTTCGTCTACGTAAGATTTGTATTGTTCTTTGATTTCATTTATCAGTATTTTGTTTTTTCCACATATGTTTTATCATAGAGTAAAGAATTGTTGAATTTCCAGTAGCTTTTGCCTCTTTCTATCTCACTGATCGTTAGATTAATCCAAATTATTGAATGGTCAGACCTATATGCTGCGTCAATGTCGATATCGTGAATTTAAACTTTCGAGGTTTTTGGAAACGATAAAGTAGTCTAGTCTTGCCTGTTTGACGGGTTTTTTTTTGTCTCCATGTGTATCTCTTGCTATGTAGGTTTTGTTCTCTCCTCGGGTCTATTTGATCATTTTCTTCCATAAATTCTAACCAGGTTTCTTTAGCTTTTGCATTATTAACGTTTTCTATAGTTGAAATAATCCATTTTTATATCCTGTACAAAGTTCCAATCACCACATATGGAGAAGCTGTCGGATTGTAATTGAGATGATTTCATGGTAAAATTCTGGCGTATCGGTGTTTGGTCCGTATATTGTTACTAACGTAATTGTCTTATCAATAATTTTCAGGTTTAGTGCTACATAGTTTGCATTAACATCATATCTCGAGTCCTCAATGGTAAAATCAAAGTTATCATTAAAAAGTATTTCTGTTCCTCTGGCATTGTTTTTAAAAGAACTGAAATAACAGTATTTTGATCCCCATTCTTCTTTAATTTTGATTTCCATTTCTTTTGTAAAGTGAGTATCTTGATACAATATATATGTGCTGTTTTGCTTGTTAGATGGCGAAATACGTCTGTGCGCTTACGCTTATTATTCAGGCCTTGACAGTTGGAAGATAAACTTTTATTGTATCGTGCTTCATGAGTGGGTATTGGGTCTGTACTGTTATGAATGGACTGGTGCTGTGTTTATCATTTTGTACATGGAGAAGATTTTTAAGTTTATAAGGTGAAAGTAGAGAGGGAGAGCTAACAGAAAGTAGCATTATAAGGCAGAGTGTTACCTTCATTTGATTGTTGAGAATCCGGTACATGTGTTATCCTGCTGTGGTTTAGGTAGAGGCATGGCCGTATGGTGTAATTCAGTTGTCCTAGGGTTAGTGTTTAGGTAGAGGCATGGCCGTATGGTGTAATTCAGTTGTCCTAGGGTTAGTGTTTAGCGCGGTGTTACATGCTAGAGTCGTGGCATGCGCCTGGTGCACCTACAGTTGGCTTGTTCGTTTCAGTGTGGTCTTTGTTAATACATGTAACGTTGATATTGTGTTCATTTGGCCGCTAAGCATGTGATTTTATATTCAGTCTTGAGTAGTAGTAACTATCTCTTCTTTATGTTTAAAGTTAAATTTTGTAAGTTATTTATGATCCATTATTAATTTTCTGAGGTATGTTTACATTTTTGATCATTATTGTTACTAATATTATTCAATGAGTCAGTTATATTATGGCTACAGATTCACATTGCTGTTTGTTGGCTATATCTGTATTTTGTGTTAGGTAGTGTGGTTATTAATTTGTGACTATAGCTTGGGTTTTTCTGTTTATCAATTGTAGCGCATCGTCCACTCGACGTTCTACAGTTGTCTTCTTATTAACTTCCTCTAGCATGAATGAGTGAGTTAGTGAGTGATGGGCTATATACGTCTGATATGCCAATAGAAAAGGGAAGTAACTCAGTACAGCAAAACCCTGGGCAT